ATAAAACTTCTTATCATTCTAAATGTCTGTGTCAAGCATACTCATCCACTGCTCAGGAACAGCACATTTTGTTTCAAGTCATTATGGTTTAAAGGTGACAGTGGTGAGTGCTAAAGGCCAGTGATCACCTGTGCTGCTGTTTGACAACTTTTGCTAAGTCCTCATTTTCAAGGAGGTAATTTAGAACAGTTGTTGCCTGGGGATGTTCGACTCTTGTATTGTCCAACATAAGAGTATTGCAGAATTCTCCTTCTTGGTGGTCCTTGATATCAAACATTCAATCACAAAAATTATTTTCTCGGAATTTTAATGGACTCAACTGCATGTACAATTGTAATTAATGTAAAGATAGTAGTGGGTTCCCAAAAACTCCTTAGTTAAGGAAACGTGGATACTTACATATAAAGGTAATTAGATATTTTTAATATTAGCTGTTGCCAGCTAGTTCCTCATTCACTTTGCAAAAAAAAAAAAAAAAAAAAAAAAACCACCAAAAAACAAACAGCATATTTATAGGAAATTTATCATTGCTGGACCTGCTGTGTAACTATAAACATTAAATTAAATGTGACATAAAATTCTTTTTCTCTTGTTTGATTACTGACAACAGATTCTCAATGGTGTGTATGAATGTAATGCCATATGTCATATAAGGCAATGCGGCAGTTTTTCAGAGGAAGTAATAATGTATCTTGCTTTACTTAATATTTTTCTAATGATAGCATATGGAGGGTCATATTGGTACCACAATATGGGGAAACTCGCAATTTGTAAAAACAAATTCATCTTCCTCTCTGTTCTGAAAGCACAGCTGAGCTGTGAACACAACAAGCATAGACGACAGACAAAAAATAATCTTTTTCTTTTTTTGTTTATTAATTTTGTTCTTGTGCATTCATTTAGGAGATAAATCTTTATGGTGAATGGAAACCCTTTCCTTTATTTTTGCCCATGCATAAAAGAGGTTTAAGTTTCATTAGATTGGCCTGTTGGGCTTTCAGTCTCATTTGTACAAAAATGCTGAAATCACAACTGTAGTTTTGTGGCAAACCTTCCCCTCTGATTTCACTGCTATTTCTTTATGTAATTTGTTTACAAATCAGTTTCCACTCCACAAAATCCAGTACAGTACAGAACTATCACTTCTGACATGTGTCAGTGTCACATTTATGAACTAGTATTTAGCAGTAGTAGTGCTAACAACTGTTTCTCAAAAAAGTCCAGAAACTATTTAGAAATTTAATCACGATTTTTAGCAATGTATTTTGTCTAGTCTCCAGACTCCACTGAATTAAAATAGTAACTCTGTCAAGGTGGAAATCAGTTTCTGAGTTCATTTTTAGGAGAAAATGATTCACAAACAGGATAGTGACAGGCTTTTATGATTACAGATTTCACATATTCTACCTCTTCAAAAGGGCTTATAGAGATTGATAGATCTACAAAGAAAGAAATGAAAAAATGAAGGGAAGAGATATAAATAGACTTTTTCATTAGGATGAATGATGGAAGGTAATAACCCCACTACCATAGTATGGCTTTAACATGTCCCTTTTTTTTCCATTCCTTTTGACCTGCTACCATCTTCCTTCTAAGTAAAAGTTAACTACAGTATGAAATGTAGGTAGGTTGAGCAATAGCTGGAAATAAATGTTTCCTCAAGCATTATTACTGTTCAGAAAAGTGTCCATCAGCTGAAATGTCAGGCTCCAAATCCATTTAAGTACTGCATAGAGGCTAAACAGGCAGCTATTATTAATTTTTAAGTCTGCTTGATGGGTTTTAGACCAAGAACTGGGGTTAACTCAATGCACTAAATATTGCAGAGTATATTTAATTAGGGAGGCTTTGACACTCAGATGGCTGAGGATTTATTCTGTGCAAACTACTGCTTAAAATGTGATGGAATAGCTGCATCTACCTAAGAAAAAGGTCTGCTGCATCATATAAAAATGCATAAAATTGGACTTTGTTGCAGGTTTTTGGACTTTTATCCCAATGTAATCACTGTCTACTTTTAATCTGTTTTGAAGCACCACTGTGTTTACATCTAGAATAATTTTCTGTCATTATGCTGCAAGTTAGCAATGTGAATTTCTCCAGAATAAGTCCTGTTCTTCTCAGCTAATTGTCAAACCAAACAATTTTCTTACTGTGCCTTAAACAGAAGTTTCTTTATTAAAAACATATATGTGGGATTCCTATGAAGGGGTTAAGACTTGTCTATATTGTTTTTATCTATTTGCATAGAGGGTTCTAAAACAGAAATGGGTACTAAGACACAAAGTGCGGTATTAAAGGGCTGTTTATCTGCTTTTGATCCAATTCAGAATCTTAGAAGGCAATAAAAAAGTAGCAAGTCAAAAATTACTTCTTTCCAATGGTTGTAAAATCTCCTAGCTGTATCTATTCCACTTCTTTGCTCCTCTTTTTCTGTCCTTTGTGCACTGCTCTGGCCCCTGCCCCCAGTCATTCTCTGCCAACAAAGAGAACCTATTCACACAAGAGTATAGAAGATCAAATGTAAAGATAGAAGTGAAATGGGAAATTTGTCCATTCCTAACAAAGGACATTACACCATATTTTCCAAGACAAGTGAGGTGATTTTCACTTACAACAGAAGAACAAATTGTCATTGACAGTTCTGAAAGACAAGCAGAAATTAAATGCAGACCCCTGAGTTAGTGAGGAGAATGGGAACTGAGTTTCTACATACTGGATCACCTTAGCACTTGATATGTTTTATGGGTTGATAAATATGTTACCTGTTCTCCATTCTCAGTCAGTAAAATTTCTATTTGTATCGTATGGCTGGAAACCCTCAAAAGACAATTAGGTGAGCTCACCATCAGAGGGAAATGAAGCAGCCTCCATCTCTTCTGACACAGACATGTTTTCAAAGTGAACAGGGCCCTTAACTTGGAAAAAAACCCCTCGTGAGGCCTTGAATGTGTAAGCCACATATGGTCTGTAGCACATGACTGCAGTTTCCATGAACATGGAAAATTTCCTGGGAGTTTTGACTTTCACACAAGCTAAAACAAGGTGTGTGAATCACACTAGAAAGGGCTAAACAAAGCCAACAGTAATGTAACATGTTTTGGAAAAAATGGAAGAGTCTGTCTTCCCAGGTATGGATGCATCTGTGCTTGCATGTGGGTGTGCACGTGCACACACAATTTTTATCCCTCAAAGGCACTGCTGAGTCTGTCTTCCCAGGTATGGATGCATCTGTGCTTGCATGTGGGTGTGCACGTGACACACGATTTTAATCCCTCAAAGGCACTGCATTTGTCTTCCTCATCAGCCTGCAGGCCTCCCCTAAGGCCTGATGCAGCTCCCGTTCCAGGCATTTAGTAACTGTCTCATAAACAAAGTTTCCAGCTATCCCTAAGAAGCCCTGGCTACTGCCCTGACTCATCAGAGCCACAAGGACAGGGGCAGTGTCTGGATTTCACGGCGCAAAGGCTGTGTGTGTGCATCCCAAGCCATGCAGCCACTGTGCTGCTGTGCCACCTGCTGATGCCGTGTGTTACCAGCTCCTGCCTAACTGGCAGCTTCCAGCTTTCCCAGGAAGCATTTTCTGGGCTTTTTCTCCTCAAGCCCTATGTTTTATTTATGTCTTTTCTCCAAGTGTTGATATTTCTCTTTTACAGCATCCATCTTTATCCATACTCTTTTTGCCTTTCCACAGTACAATATGTGCGCACCATGCTTATGCCTTACCTCTCAATTTTATCTGTGGATCTCTTTGACATATTTTCTTCCTAATAAAACCTTTAAATGAAAGTGTTAAAATAGATTTGATACTAATGTCTGTTGCATTATGGTGGAGAACTGAGCATTGTACCATTTGTAGCAATGGAAAAATATTTTGTTTATAGTCCTTCACACTGTTTTCAATGAAGCAATCTGCTTTTCATAGACATGAATTACTTGAATTATGTTTTCAATAAGATTTTCCAGGTATTACCAAATACTTTCCTTTAGCCTAAATTAATATTTCCTATGATATTCACCCACTAGACCTATTCTGTGAAGAAAGATAACTGTGTAAATATTTGTGAATAATACTTTATAAATAAATATTTAGTTGCATGTTATTTATGCTATAGCCATAAAATGCTATTGACTTTAGTTCTTTTTTCCTCTAGAGAGAGCTATTTTACTGTTTACCTCCTTATAAATGAGAGGAAGTAATTTAAATGATCACACATTGTTCCTTTTTAAATTTGTTCTTGTCTTTGCTCCTCTGCTCATCCAATATTTTTCTATTCTCTCTACTGCTTTTACCAATGGCTATCCCAGTCATGTGGGCATGGTGACATCCTCAGAGAATTCTCACAACCACTTTTCACACAGCATCCTACCAAAATGTTCAGCATATTCATTTTTTTCGAATACTCTCGGAATGATTTTCTGAGAAATACTTTCCTAAGATGTGCACATTTTCAAACTTTTGGAACAACATGAGTATGGATATAAGGGTTTCATTGACAAAAGCAAGTTAAGAGTATGGGAATATTTTAAATGCATGGCCTAGGTGCCTGTAAACATAGTTCAGATTTACCTAATTATTGATCAGAGTGATACTGCACATGGCTTGGTCTGTCCTCTCCATTAATTTTACTGCTGATAAAAATGTCATTTGGAAAAACAGATTAAGAGGCTTCAGGAGCTTTAATTCAAATGCAAATGTACATCCATAAAGACATACATACCTATATGTATGCAACATGGATCACAAAATTTTCACCACTGTGACTGGCTCATGTAAAAGGTTCACAAATCTCTATGAAGAAGTTCAGAAATTCCAATCCCACCTTCATAAGTGTTAGTACCTAAATAAGTACACCTTTGAGCATAATTGGTTGTACCCATGAATGCCAGATTCTGCCATTTTTCAAACTTTGTTCTTTGCCTTGGTAGTTTAATGCAAGACTACGTTTCAGCCCAGGTACCTTGGCTCCAGAGATGGTGAGGTGTGTATCAGTACTTACAGCTGTCCTCCTCCTCCATGAAAATACTGATCACGTAACAGGCATACACAAATCCAATCAGCTGTGTGAAAAAAGAGGAAAAGCCATCATTAGAACACACTGAACACTTACAAAGCTGTTACTACAATGATATATACAGGTATCACAGCTAAATTTTAAATATATTTATTTCTATTTCCCAAATTTACATATTTCAGTGCAAACAGCTAAATTAATTTCCTCTCTTTTGCTCATGTTGCATAACTTATATTTTATATATAAATATGAATTTTATAGTTTAAAATATTTTCCTAGTCTCACTGGAATCAGTATTGACGAATGCTGCTATTGAGTAATACTGGTGGAAAACATTTATATCCTGATGTTCAGCTATTGTTTACATTTCCTTTCTTCAATACCTCTGTTCTCACATGACTTTTCCCACATGAATGTGGGCCCCTATGCACTTCATATGCTTACTAAAATGCCCAAATATTTATTGACTGCTACAGAATTAAGTCATAGTAACACTTCTGTGGAATCCACAAGAGATGTCTTTTGGTGCTACATAAAGCGTCCCAGTGAAAAACTGCTAGGCAAAATTTTAAATTGATGGGTGAATTGTCATGATGTAACTGAACAGTAAAACTGGGTTGTGATTCATTGACATCAGGAAACACCTTATTTCATGTCATTCATGTTAACTATACAGGAAATGAACAATATCATTTCCCCAAAGAACAGCAACAGTCAAACCACGCCATTATTTTAACAGCAGCACCCATGAAAGCATTCTCCTTAACCCAGATCTGTGTCACTTGTGCCACCAAGAGGAAAGGATAAAGCTCTTTAGGATCAAGAAGTAGCAACTCCACTCTCTCCTTATCTATATAGACAAAATATTTTCTTATGACCATGACCAAAGAGGAAGAAAATCCCACTGGGCAAGGAAACCTATTAAACTGCACAGCCAGACATGTCCAATCTTGAGAAAATATTGTTTGTGCAGCTGTACACAATTCATGCCATCTGAAAGCCTTGAAAAGACTCTTCATGAGAGATTTCAAAAATAGCCCAGAGATTAGTTTTAAGAATACTCCTATTTCCCTGGTCCATTCAAAAAATCTAATTAAATAGTTATTCTAAGGATGTCACGGATCAACCATCTGAGAAAGAGGTAATTTAATAGTATCTAGACAGGTATAAGCTCCTTCAGAAGCAGAAAAATCATTCCAACCTGCTTTCTGGTTGGGCTGCACGAGGAGCAAAAGCTTCTCTGCAGACAAAAAGCTTGTCCACACAAGGGAATTCGGGGAAGTTAAGATGAATTAACTAAAGCTGTGAAATCAATGCACATAAGATAAAGTACGTTAAATCCCTGTGTGGCCTTTCCCATTCAGAAATAAAGTGGCCCTAGTTCACTGCAGCTTAATCCTTCTCCAAGGGATTAATCTTCCCATGGAGAATTAAGCTACAGTATGCTGAAGCTGAGCTACTTGTGAATGAGGGCTGTCACAGCACTGTGGCACAGTCCTGTCAGAGCTTCCTCTCCAGGGCATTCACCTCACTGCTGTTTTCACAAAGTGACTTCAATCCAACTTTCCTCTCATTCTGAGCACACTACAGGGAAGCTGCTGCGCTTCCCTAACTGCTTTTTGGTGTCCAGTTTGCTGTGTGGTATTGCCACAGCCATTCTCAGGTGAACAGCACTTTGTTACACTGATGCTCTGAGCCAGCTAAACGCAATCCAGCTCTGGAGGAGGCTGGGATGGATCCATGCCTGAGCTGCCCACCCCATGTGCCTGGTGCCAGGGAGGCTGCAGCAGGATGGGACCCACAGACACGGCAGGGCTCACTTTACCTGCTGAGAATTGTGTGGGTGGTTAGGAGCAGTCCAGCTCCTGCTGTTAATGACAATGGGATTTTATGGTTCTGCTGCCAGCACACCTGGGCCAGCAGTGGCTTACAGACTCCTTGACAGATTAAACACACTTTTTCCTTAAACTTCACTTTTTCCTTAAACGTCACAGTTTAGAGCACCTTTCAGGCATGACAACTAAAACAATACAATATAAAGGCTTCCAAGAGATCAAAAGACAAATCATACCTGAGATGCAGTGCTTGTGCCACCTGAAGGTTCCATATAATTTAAAAAATATTGCAGTAGTACCACGGAAAAATCCGAACACAGGTGATTTTTCATAAAAGGATGCCACCTGTTTATTTACAATGTTTCCTGATCACCATTTGTGTTGTACAATTTGACTGCATAAGTCATTTGGTTTTGTTTCTTTTTCTTAAACATGACTAAAATATTTTGAAGATTAAAACTGCTGAACAAATAATGAACATGATAGAAATTAATTGTAGTACAGGCTGTGGGTTAAATGTTTGTGAAGGACAATCAAATATTAGAATTATTTATTTTTCTCTATCATGTATTTAGTTTTTCTTATTAGTAGTGTTCTGTATTAAATTAACTTTATTTTTATAAATCCATTTCCTTCTTTTTAAGTATATATAGACTCTATATCTATGTACATTATATAAAATATATCTCTGTAAGTGCTTCCAGAAGATTTCGCAAATGTCTAAGATGTTGGACAAGTGGATAAAGCACAGCAAGACTTCCACTCTAACAAGTAATAAACGACCTGACACAGAGAAAGCAATAGGGAAAAGTGCTCAAAAAAGCATTCAAAAAACTGTGGGTCATGACAAGCTTGAGTTTTAACGGTCCTAAGAGTTTACATCCTGCTTTTTTAGTAGACCTTCTTATTAATATTTTCCCACTTTCTTCAATGTTTGAAATGCACTTTGCCTAGTCTGTGACCTTCTTGCAAAATCAGCAGCCTTTCTCTACTTCTCAGAAATATATTTTTTATTCCTCAGCATTAGAAATCACTGCTAGCTGTTGTATTTATGATGTATATTTGTTTAGAACACACCATTTCCCCCATCTGTTTAGTTATTAATACCAGGAGAAATAAAAAAAAAAATATATATTCACCCTCTTTCAATTTTGTGGTCTTTTCAAGGGGGGGATAAAAAGATGAGATGACTAACTATAGCCCTCCATAATCCAACAGTATCTTTCTGTAGTTAGAAGTCAGAATGCATTTTTCTGAAAGAATAAAACAACAAGGAGAAAAAAGAGCCCTTTAGCATCAAGTGTCAGGTATTGCTGCTCGAGGGGTCAGCAATGCTTGGCTTGTAACTAACAAACAAGTAGTTATTTTTGGGTAACTGATATCTACGGCACCATTAACAAGAAGTGATAAAGTGTGAATATACCATTTGACAGATGAGGCTTGTTTCCACATCCTTAACCAGAGTTACAGCCACCACTGTGTGAATATTTTTGTAAATAAATCAATTAAAACCACTTATTTTGTGTTATTGATGGACATGCTAATAAAATATTTATTCCAGCAAATTTCTTTTGGTATCTTGATTAACACAGCTGCTATTTAATTAATAGTGTTATGCTCATGTGAACCCATCTAGCTATCGGGCTAATTGCCAGTCTTGGTACTGGAAATGTTGGCTATTGGCCTGGCACCAAGTGATAAACTTAAACGTGTGTTTCCTGATAACCAAAGCAATTATGATGCATATGAGCTGGAAGATTCTTAATTTGGTCATCTTAAGTTGCAGTAAGCATTCAAAGGGACTGATGAAGGGGTTGGAACATGATGTCCAACGCATCAAAGATCACTAGAACCTGAAAGTATAAATAAGAGCCTCTGGCTTGATCCAGAGAGAAATATACAGAAATATAAAGCCAGGAGGCCTTGTCTTGACGTCACTGAGTTCAAGGCATGGAAACCTTCTGGGATCCCTGCACTGTACAAGACTGACTGTCTTACCTGGAGAGCCCAGACTAGTTAAGTGTCTCAGAAGACACCTGTTAGTGCTATTCTGCAGAAAATCAGGTGGGAAATTGTGGGTAGAGGCTGCTGTCCTCACCCTTCCTCCATCCACACAGTGGTTAGGGTACATACCTTTATCTAGACAGAATAAGCAAAGCATAAAATATTTCAGGGAATCACAGAAGGTTTTGGTTGGAAGGGACTTTAAAACTCTTCTGGTTCAACCTCCCTGTCGTGGGCAGGAACATCTTTCACTAGGCCAGGTTTCTCAGATTTCATCCAGCCTGTCCTTGAACACTTTCAAGTATAGTGCATCCACAGTTGCTCTTGGCAATCTGTTCAAGTGCCTCACCACCCTCATTGTAAAAAATGCATTCCTTATGTTCAATCTTGATCTGTGCTCTTTCAATTTACAACTCTTACCCTTCGCCCTCTCAACACAGACCATGGTAAAAAGTCCCCTTAATAAATGGAAAGGCCAACATAAAGTTTAAATAGCTCCAACTCTCTCAGCTCTCCAAATATTCTCATCGCCCTCCAAGTGGAGTATCATGAAAGCAGAGTAGAGCGGTAAAATCACCTCCTTTGCCCTGCTGCCTACACTTTTTGTGACGCAGCCAGTGGTACTGGCTTCCAATTGGCTTCCTGGACTGCAAGTGCACTTTGCTGACTCATGTTGAGTTTGTCATCCACCAAGATCCCCAAGTTCTTCTCAGCAGGGCTCCTTTCTAGCCATTCATCCCCCAGCCTTTACTGATATTATGGATTGCTCTGAGCCAGGTACAACATCTTGCACATGGCCCTTTTGAAGTTCATGTGCTTCACACGGGCTCACTGCTTGAGCCTGCCAAGGTCCCTCTGGGTGGCATCTCATCCTTCAAGCCCTTCAACAGCACCACCCAGCTTGGTGCCATCAGCAAACCTGCTGAGGGTGCAGGCAATGCTGCTATGACAGTAATGAAGACACGAAGTAACACTGGTCCCACTATGGGCCCCTGAGTGGTGCCATTTGTTATGGAACACTGAGCCATAATTCTCTGGACATGACCACACAGTGTTTTTAGACCCATCAGAATTTTCCTACCAAAAACCTTATTTCTTCAATGACTAGCTGAGAAGTGTTGCTGAATTCTCCAAGTCATAGTGAAGGATAGGCTTAGGATATGAGAAACAGTTGTCACCTAGGCTATAAGTTGGCAGAGACTTCAGT